TTGCTACGCCGGAGAACTTCAACCTTTGCTGGGTGGACGATGCTGCGGCCGGTCTTACTTCGGGATCCCCCACTGCATCTTTTTCAGGAATCGAAAACATTGCCCCTGGAAATCCTCCTAACGTCCTTTCCGCAATGGAGGCAGACAGCACCCGAACCCATAACTGGGCCATCGCTAACACCGCTGAACTGGTCAATGCGACGGCTGCTTCTGTCCGGTCCTTTGCCGCAGCTACCGCCAAGCACATGCTGGGTGCTGCCGGCGTGGTCATGGGCAATATCCCCGATCTCGATGATGTTGTCGGAATGACGGATGAAGAGTTGCGTTCGTTCGCGGTCAAGTCGCAGAAGGAGCTTGAAACCTCGCGGAAAGAGTTGGATTCGATTGACAAGAAGCTTAACGCGTTGGTGAAGCGGAACAAGAAGCTCGCTCAGCAGGCTTTGGCCACGACTGTCGAGGGTCAACGTGTATCCTAATGTATGATTATGTTCTTTTTCTTTCTTCTCATGAACTGCTACGATGTACAGTGTCTATTATATTCTGTATTATACAAAGTTATCTTTACCTTTTATCGGGCTTGTTAGTGTACATAGTATGCGAAAACAATATCTTATTATATCCTCCTAAACCAAGCAAGTCTTATTAGAAAGTGAATCTCCCCAACACCGACAAACTGTTAGATGCTTTCCCCCCTTCAATCGTAAGCTGCTTTACGACCATCTCTTTATGATTCACCATGGACCTCGCGCACATCGTCGCCTCGTCTATCGTCAGCTTTATCGCCGTAGCCTGCATCATCACCTAGATCACCATGTGCGTCATGAGATGCGTTAGCCCACAGCAAGCGGAAAGTAGATGGCCCTTAGCTTCCATTACGAATGCTGTGTTTTACAAACAATCCGAATCTTAGACGACAATCCCTCTTACGAGTGTGAGTGAACACCAACACATCTCAGAAGAGGCGTGGTTAATTTAACCACAGACTGAGGTCGACGTCTTTGATTGAGCAAATGAAGCCCAAATTTCAATTTCCTGTAACCCATGCGCCAGTGGATGAGCTCAAAAGCCATTACTGAGATCTAAAAATGGACATGTTATACGAAGATACGAAAGTGCCATCCAATGGCATTAGAGACTCTCAGTGGGCAAATGTGTGAACCGGGACTAATATATCTTTAAGGTAGACGGCAATAAAAGCAGGAAAACAAAGAATTTGCTAAGCAGAAGATTTTAGGTTCTGTCTCTGTTGCATGCACGTCTGAGCGCATTTATCAGGGTGTCCCACTATGGTAACGCGACAGGCCTACTTATGGATGGAATAAAATGACAAGGTTCGAACGCGTCTCCTGCACCATGACCCCAATACTAGGTTTCAGGAGCACAATGGCCTAACACCCACCATGGAGGCATGGGCGAAATTAAGGGGTACATGAAGGACCCAAGGAGAGCGTGCTGGCTGATTCGTTACCACTGATTAAAGTTACTCAGATACCCTCGTGTGTTTACGGATTGGAAAACAATGACCGACAAACGAAATGGATTATGCTGGACTGAATTTAATGAATGCCCCTTGCGATCTCTGGGTTCAGTTCTTGGGGGCCTGATTACATTGACCCGGGCACCATCAGTCTATAGTGAAACCCAAAGGGCACACATTAGAGACAACGCTTTTACAAGCTCCAGGACCGTGAAGCAAACATTTTGACACAAGGACTTGAACGTTTATCGATGGGACATCATTATGATGCCCAAGGTCAAGAAGAGTTTGACACAATGGAGTCAGAAAAGGAATACCATGAGCCATTCATATGAAAGATGGCAATATAGCAGAGTGCCCAGTATTCTGCCGCCAAGTGTAGAACGGATCAACTATTTGAGGCGGGAGCCAGATTTGTGTCAATTTTTAGGGAGACTTATCGTCAGGAGACGGCAATATGCCTTGGAGAAGGTTGTGTGATCTCTTAGGGCTACATCAGTTTACTTCGGATCTGCCTTTATCTAGGTAGTACATCCTGCATGGCACTGATATAGTATGACAAATCGAGAGGGTTAATATTAGTCCAGCGGCTACCCATCAATTAACCTTGCTTCTCGTATGCGGCCTTAGACCTAATATCGATCCTAAGTTGACTTTATGTACAGTCACCTGACAAAAGTCTACGTAATTCCGCGTCGCGCGACGCGCCACCTGATATTGTCCATCATCTTTTCAACCACCTACACCATGCCTCGCACCCCTTTACGATCTACTAGTTCTAATAGGACTAATAGAAAGGAATTAGAACCTTTCCAACGGGGAATTATAGTTGGCCGATTCCTTGCAGGCCAGAAAAAGGCTGATATTCAGCGCGAAATGAATTTACCGTATACAACAATTCAAACC